CCGAATGGTTACCGTAGTTCTCGCTCATTAAGTTTAAAAGCATTTCTTGAATTCTAATTTCTAGTAGCCGGGTTATTACAATAACTTTCAGAGCTATTTGGCCGGATCTGAATTAGACGGTTTTTGCTCGCCGAATTCGTCTACAGTTTTGAGGGTCGCCCTGGTCCTGAATGAGTTTTAATGTAAATTGAAAGCAGTAGTACTTTGTAGAAATTCGGGAAAAACGAGTTTTTTTGGCTCCGAGCAGTTACTCCTTTCATTTCACGCGCTCTTGATTTTTTTTTTCGGAGTTTCAACCACAAGCAGCCCATATGTAGTGCAGAATATGTGTGCTTGCGAATTAAAAAATTACTTTGACAGGTATCCGAAATGGATGCACACATTTGAAAATCAACTTTCACTGGATTTTCGAACGAAACAGGACAACGCCTTATTGCTGTATGCAGATGATGGAGGTGTACAGGGAAATTTTTACTCACTGACAATTGCTAATGGGAGGTTGCAGTTGGATTTCAGGTCAAACTAACATTCTTTTGACTTCTGAAATTTTCTTCTTATTTCTATATTCTTTTTTTTTTTACTTCTACCATAAAGTGTGATCTTGAGTGAGTATATGGTGAAAGTAGGTCTGAGTATCGCAAGAGAGAGAGCTGCGATTCAGACTCACAGTCATTTCTACTAAACCCACAACATACTACCCAGTCAAGCTTAGGCGATTCGGATCGCGGTCATATCGCAAGAGAAGATAAGAGTTACGGGGATTAGACTATGCGGTTTAAATCAACCAAAAAGGCCTGGTTTAGTTAGCTGTGGCTCGCCTGTTAGTAACATTGGGCATTTCGCGCTGAGTCACCGCGAAAATTCTGGCGGTCACCTTAATGCTTTGATAAATGGTTGGAATCTTGATAATTTATGAAAACTAGAAATAATTGTAACGTTTTGGCTCTGAGACGCACGGAGTATGAGCGTTGACACATTTTTCCATTTGCCAGCTGTTCCCCTGGGACCGAATCTGCACGTTCAGTTCTCCAGCGTTTTTTTTTTTTTTTTTTGCAGAGTTGTTTTCGCATGATTTCTTTGCTAATTTCATGAGGCTGCATTGAGTCTCAGTCCGAACTTGCTTCTTGGAATACATCAAGAGTGATATGTTGTAGGCTGGGTGATGAGTCAAACGATCTGTCCTCAGAAAGGCCTGTCATAACGATGCGGCTCAACGATATTGTGGTGAGCGACTATCGCTGGCATCGGTTAACGCTGTTTCAGGTTGCTTTTTGTTCAGCCTAAAGACCTGAAGAGGTCTTCCATTAACTAACCTGACTTATCAACTGACAACTGTCAGGTTTGCTTATGTGAAAAGGTTGTATTATCAGATTCTGCTTTTGTAATTTTTTTGCTTGTAATACTGAGCAACCTTTCTGGACTAACATGAGGCAAATGAAAAAATACAATCATTTTTGGGGAATGTAGCAGCTGTCTTGAAGTTTGATTATTTGATGCGCCTACACACACCGCCCGTGCCTACACAGAAATTTCAATTTTCTAGCTTTTTTAGTTCTCGACTTGAAGGTAGATGACAAAAAGTGCTAAAACACGGACGCACAAACAACAGCCTCTTCCTGCCAGTATGCGTTTTTGCATTTGCATAATATGCTAAACCGGATAAAAACTAAGAAATGCAATTCTTCGCGCTGGGGACTTTCCCCTGCAATTTGTGTTCTTCAGCTACTTTATATGGGAAAAAAATTTTTTTTGATAATTCTAGGAAAAATTTCTGCATAACTTTGATTTTGAGAACCTTTTGAAAGTCCATAGAGCAGACGTGCACCACTGATACACGAGACTAATTGTGCCTACTGAGGAATAGTCAGGTACATGTGAAAGTAATACAGTGAAGACTTTTAGGCTTGGGAAAATGTAAAGCTACAACTGGATGATGCTGTTCTTTTCAAGATCCTTAATC